TGGATTGATCATATTCTGGGGCTGATGTGGATTTTGTTAATTATTGGTAACGTATTTTTACATTTCCGTTTGTAATTTACGGGATTCCGTGATTTACGAATGGCTTCGATCATTAACCCAAATGATTATTAATGTTTTAAACACTTAGTAGTGGAAACATTTGTTAGCCATGGTTTTAATTTTGTATATTCATCATACTTTACAATATAACGATGACTGTGTCATTGTTGTTGTCTCATACATTGAGGTACTAGTTATTAACCATGCAAATGGCCATATAATTTCGTTTAATTTGTCATGGCAATTGACATTTCTGTAATGTATTTGCCGCTTATGTTCTGGCAACGCGTAATGTGGAAAAATAATTAATTGACGGAATGTGATTTTATGTGACAAGTAACGCGCGACATCAAACTCCCCAGAAGATTGCAAACTACGTGAATAATGCATTGCACTGATCAACAACATGCCAATGTACTCAGATATGCCCAAAAAAAAAAAAGAAAAAGATGCAACACCATATCTAACGTAATCATGTAAACCATAACAAAATGCATCGACCAGCCATCGAAGTACCACTACACAGCAGCTGAGGTCCTGCACAAGCATTTTGTATTGTTATGCGGCCAATGTGTACTTGTGGACCTTCTCTGATGCAACATTTCATATACCATTGGGCTGTTATTCTAGTTACACTACTCCACAAATGAAACCCATCGAACGTATTACACACATGCAAAATTATGCCCAACACTCATGTTATGAAACAAATTGGGTACAACATGGACTATATCAATTACACAAGCACCAAAACTTCCAAATCTCAAAAACACACATTTAGCATCATCAAACACATTAAACGACTACAATAGCCAAAACTACACACCTTCACAATAACCCAAACATATATCATTCTCCTTATAAACACCACGTTGACGTGCCACCAAATGTGTCTCGATTGAGTGTAACAATCAACGGCATTCGCAACACTACGAATTGGCACACCGACAAAATACCACTAAACACATTCGACATTGTATCACAACTACGACACATCAATCACCTAAACATGGCATTATTAACATTTACAGCCCGATACAAAAACATATCTGCTGCACCCAAACCCAATACGTTCACTCAACACTTCAACCATGACGGTAATTGACAAAAACACACATCAATGGCACATTAACATCTACATTTACACTATCAATTGTAATAAACACATGTTAAGTTTTCCCTAACTTCACGTTGCATATAACATTGGGGTAATCAGTGAAAACAACAACACACCAAATCAACATACAAAACATGAAATACACAGTCAAAATTTCGAAATGTAAACAACAATTTCAGTTGCATAAACTGCACACCTGCGAGTTTCTTTGTCATCTTCTGCAAATCAGAAAATGTCTTAATTGGTGGCATACGGCGTAGCGAACATTGATGTCAGTTACTGTTAAATGAATCATCGGACAAGACGAAACAAAACTTCGTCGGTCACAGTCCAACGTCGTACTGGTTGTGCGTGGAATTCGTACTATCTCTTTTCGAAAATCCAAAACCCACATTTAGGGTTTCAATCCACCAACATGGAAATGTTCAAATGTGGAATTGTTGATTACCAATGTTTGATCATTTACCAATAAAACCAATATGCCTCCAATTAAGATTACCAATGTTTCAAAGATTCGATCACCAAACGTGGGAAACCTATAAAACCCCATAGTGTGCTCTATGTCCATAAAAGTAATTTTAACAATACACAAAACCCACATTGCCCTCAAATTAAAAAACATGCACGAAATAGAGGGGTAAATGTGCCATTTTGTACGTTTCAGGACTTATCGATTCAACAGAAAAGAAACAGGACTAAGTGGTGCACAAGTTCATAATTTTGGATTTATTGGTGCTTCACCCTCAATACTATCACATTATTACACAAGCAAACATAATTTATTATATTTCAACCCAATCCAACTACATTACTATTCTCCTCCGTCAATCTTGGATTGGTTTAGAAAGTAATTATTTTAGTTAACTTTTTCCGAAAACATGTATAAAAAAATAGAGAAAATAATTTGACAACTTAACTTTTTTGATTTTTTAACTGTATTAGCTCAATGCCTAACCAACTAATAATCTCATCTAACTTAATTGACAAACAAATGAAGCCGAAAGAATGAATCAACCTAAGGCTAATAACTTATTTAAAAATTAGGGGATTACATGTCAGTGGGATGCAATGTTTTTATTTTTATTTTTTTTACAAAAAAGGTGAAAGTTGGATGATTTTAATTATTAATATTTATAAAAAAAATTATTCGTTTTGTAAAAAAAAATCTACACCTCACTAACATGTAATTCTCTCTTTAAAAATTTACTTTTTTAAATAATTTTTTATACAAAGACATATAAAAAAGATAACAATAAATTAATAATAATTTATATTAATAAAAACCTTACCTCCAAACCAACAGGTGTAAATCATCGCTAGCTTAGAATGGTTACTATATTCTGATTGAGATAACTTTATACCCACCCAGAAGGAGTTCAGATCCTCTTCAGCATTTCTCTCTAGCATTTCCTTTAGGAGACGACCCAGATTGGGCCACGTCACTCTACTAAAAATCTGTGGCTCAGATTAGCTATATATAAAAAAAAAAAAAAATCAAATTTCATTCAGCAAAACAAAGCCCAAAATGTGAAAGAGGAAAGACACAACAAAAAAAAAAAAAAAAAAAAGAGGGAAAGGGAGATGAGATGCATATTCGAATGATCCTAGCCACCATCATCATTCTCCATCGGCGTCCACAGTCCACCATTTTTCATTGACGACCACTGTCCATCGGCCATTATTATCCATTGGAGCGAAGAAATCTTTTTTTTTACATCGTCGGTCTTCATCCATTCTTTTTTAAAAATTTTATTTTTGTCTTAGAGCTATGCTACATTCTTTTCTATGATCTTTTGGAGATACTAATAAATAGTAAGATTTAATCTAAAAAACTTGGACCTTTCTCATTAAATCTAACAAAAGAAAATATCTGGAACTTTGATTCTTGTCATATAAAATTAAACTGTGGTCAGTAATTGATGATTACTCAAATGGAACAAATTTGAGTTTGCCTCAAATAAGAAGAATTGCATCTTAATAGGCATGCATTGCATACACAAAATGAAGCACATATTCTTTTTTTGTCCTGATTTGTTTAACAAACACATCTCAAATTTTACAAGAACTCAAATGCACACATCTTCAAATGCTTCTAGAAACAAAATGGAATTTGTGTTACTCTCGTGTTGACTCCAAAAGCCCCAAGTTTTATTATAAATGGATTAGAACATGAACTCAAAAAAAAAATAAAAATAATAAAAAATAAATAAAAAAATCAGTAGATTGTGAGGCACAAACAACAGCAACAAAAAACCACAACAATAGCATCAACAATAACAAATGCGGCAATTGGATGTAAAATTTAGCAGCAAGTTCAAATACAATTCATCTCCTATGCTTGAAATTTGAAGTGCCTTCCACCATTTTGTGCCCATCTATACGCTGGGGGAAAGAAGAAAAAAAAACCCATAGTATTAGCAACAAATTCAACAAAAAAAAGTAGCAATTTCAGCACAAAATAAGAGCAAAACAACAACAAAAAAATAGCAAAACAGCAACAATTTCAGCACCAAAATTGCAGCAATTTCAGCAACAAAACATTAGCAATTTCAGCACCAAAACAGCAGCAAGAACAGCACTAAAACAGTAGGATTTCAGGGGAGGAAGAAGAGATCGAAAAGGATTTCGAGCCACTTTGTGAGAGTGGGTTTCGAGAGAGGAAGTCGTCGTCGATGTTTATCGTCAATTTCGCGAGATGAAGTCGTTGTTGGTAAAGAACTCAAGAGGGAGGGAAAAAGTGGATGAGAAGATACAGGAGAAGAAATTTAGGCTTTATTTTGCTGAATGAAATTTGAATTTTTTTTAGGTAAAATACACTTACACCCCTTGAGGTTTGAGTTTAATACATATCACCTTCTAATGTTTAGGAAATTACACTAACCCATTGTCATTGTAATTATCTAGATGAAATGAAAATATTGAATTCATGCACTCTTCCTTTTTTTTTATTTTGTTTTACTTCATTTGGTTTTTTTTTTCCCTTTCTTTTACTTTACTCTTTTTATAAAAAAAAAAAATGTAATTTATTATATTTTTTTACTAAGAGTTATTGCCTTTTATATAAAGGGTTGTTTGGAGTGTCCTAAATAAGTGTACTTTTTGTCTTTTTGGACTAAAGTCAAGTTTGGGAAGATAAGAAAAAGTCAAAAAGTTACTCAAAAAGTTAAAAAGTTAACACTATTCACTAAAAGTCAACAATTATGGCTGTACAACTCTCAATCCTAATTTTCCCCTACAAACCAATTTTTACAATTTTTTAATACATATTTTTTCTATAAAAAGTCAAAAAGTTAACCCAAACATCCATATTTTTTTTCTCAATTTTTAGTCCAAAAAGACAAAAAGTACACTTATTTAAGACATCCCAAACAACCCCTAAAAAATAGAGGAAAAAAATATGGATGTTTGGATTAACTTTTTGACTTTTTATGGAAAAATGTGTTTTAAAAAATTATATAATTAGTGTGTAGATGATTGAAGCGGATTTACCTAAATTGTTGAGTTTTGTGCAATATTAATTTTTGACTTTTGGTGAATAGTGATAACTTTTTAACTTTTTAAGTAACTTTTTGACTTTTTTTCAACTTGCCAAACTTAGCTTAAGTATGGGTTGTGAAATGAGACTATTAACCACAGGAAAAGAATGTAATTTTCAAAACATTAAGGGTGAGATGTAATTGAATCAAACTTTAGGGATTGTCAGTGTAATTTATCATTTGTTTTAACTAATCTGAGTCGCAGGTCTTCAGTCTGACGTGGCCTAATCTGGGCCGTCAGGCAGAGGAAATGCTGGAGAGGATCTTAACTCTCTGAACTCACCCAGAAGGGATTTTCTTCTAATCGATTTAGGGTTTTAGCAAGAAATTGCAGAGAGAGAGAGAGAGAGAGAGAGAGAGAGGCCACTGTAATCGATCAATCTCCAGATTAAGATTAGCAGCATTTGAATTCGGTTCTTGCGAAGATGGCTCGGAATGAAGAGAAGGCACAGTCCATGCTCAACAGGTTTATCACCATGAAGAACGAAGAGAAGAAGAAGCCAAAAGAGCGACGTCCATTCTTGGCTTCAGAGTGCCGTGACCTCGCCGAGGCAGACAAGTGGCGTCAGCAGATCATGCGCGAGATCGGCCGCAAAGTCGCCGAGATCCAGAACGAAGGCCTCGGCGAGCACCGCCTCCGAGACCTCAACGACGAGATCAACAAACTCATTCGCGAAAAAGGCCACTGGGAGCGCCGAATCATCGAGCTCGGCGGCCCCAATTACACCAAAAACAGCTCCTCCGCCAAAATGACCGACTTGGAAGGCAACATTGTCGACGTCCCAAACCCTAGCGGCCGCGGTCCGGGCTACCGCTACTTCGGTGCGGCAAAGAAGTTGCCTGGAGTCAGAGAATTGTTCGAGAAGCCTCCGGAGTTGCGGAAGCGGAGAACTAGGTATGATATATATAAGAGGATTGATGCGAGTTATTATGGGTATAGAGATGACGAGGATGGGATATTGGAGAAGCTGGAAGGGCCTGCGGAGGAGAAGATGAGGGCGGAGGCATTGGCAGAGTGGAAGGTGATGGAGGAGATTAAGATTGAGGCGAGGAGGGCGGTGAAGAGCGGGGAGGTGGCTATGGTGTCATCGGCGGCGGCTGCTAAGATATTGTTTGAGGAGGAGGAGGATGTGGTGGAGGAGGAGAGGAAGGCCAAGGAACTGGAGGAGAAGGAGAAAGAGAAGGAGTTTGTGGTTCACGTGCCGTTGCCGGATGAGAAGGAGATTGAGAGGATGGTGGTTGAGAAGAAGAAAATGGAGCTTTTGAGTAAGTATATGAGTGAAGATCTTTTGGAGGAGCAGATTGAAGCCAAAGCCATGCTCAACATTCAGCGGTAGATTGGATAGATGGTAGGCTTGTTGTGTTGTGGCATTACTACATGATTTTGTTTTTCGTTTGATAATTAATAGTTTAGTTTGATTGTGATCGAATTCTTATCTGTAGAATTGCAATCAAACGAAAATGCTAGGGTTATTTTGATTTTTATGTTTGCTAATTTGCTGATTGGATGGATGATCTTTTCTCAAAATGCAGTTGCTGTTAGATGAACACACAAACTATGAAAAAACTTCATTACATAATTCAATTCCAAAGTGCTCTTTTCCATAACAATTGTTAAATTTTTTTGTTATTTCTACATTCTGATGATGACTGTTAACTTCCTCAGGGACAAGTCATGTGTGTTTTGCTTCTCATTTGTATTTGTTGGTTTTTTTTATATTGATTCTCATATATCAAGAAATAGTCTTATTCGTTTAGGTGTTCAACGTTGATCAAATTAGGAAATTATTTCACATAGTGAGTCTGCTATTTTGCAAGGACTTAATAGTCATTGTCTTGTGGCCATTTCTATAACTGTATATAAAAGTATAAAACCCTTTCATGTCCTAACGCTTGGGTTCCACAATTGCTCCCGAAGCTGGTCATCCATGGCGGTGTGCAATGTGCTCAAATCAAAGCCTGCAAGTTCGAGTTGGTTGAAAGTGGTGAAAGTTGTCTGTTCTCTCAATTGGCTCTTGAAATTTTGCGTCCAGCGAAGCTAATTGCATGTGCCAAAGCCACAACTTGCAAATGTCAGTTGGTTCAAGTCAGTGCTTTTTGTTTGTTTCCTGAGTTTTCTGTGTACGGTTTCCCCATGTGCTGGAAAACTAGGGTGGTGGCTCAGTGTAGACAATTATGTATGCATACTGTGCGGTTCGTATTTCACCATGTTCAGGAAACCAGACAATCTGGTATGTAATTTACTGTTTTAAATGGTACAAACTGTTGATTTGCATTTTAGTTGAGTTTTGTCTATTTCTGTGTTCTGTTGTGGTTTTAGTTTTGTATCTTTCTCTGTTTTGTTTTGGTTGGAGCTTGGTTTGAGTTTTGTAACTTTCACCTTGTATGGCATCTGTTTAATAACATGCCCATAAGAGCAATGAAAATCAATTGTATTACTTTCCTATGTGTCTGTCAATTACCTACCTGTGAGAACCATTCATTGTTCTCTGTACTTTATTTGTCATTCCTTTTTCTGGGTATTTGTTATTCTTTGTCTAATGGTGACCAAGAGAGAGATAAGATCACACAGTTACCTGGGCAGCCAACCAATGTTGGTTTCACTCAGTACTCAGGTTATGCGACTGTAAAACAGCAGGCTGGGAGTGCGTTGCTTTACTGGTTGGTTGAGGCTCCGGCAAGCCATGGAGCTGAGTCGAGGCCACTCTTGTTGTGGCTCAATGGTGGACCTAGTTGTTCTTCTGAAGCTTATGGAGCTGCTGAACAGGTTGGACCTTTCCGTATTCGTCCTGATGGGAAGACCCTTACCTAAATCCATATGCTTGGAATAATTGTAACTTTCTTGTCTTTAGTTCCAACATGTCTCCTTCGATCTATATCACAATGTGTTTGTGTTTCTGATTTCATTTTCTTAATTTGTTGGTAGTGGCAAATGTGCTTTTCCTTGAATCACCCGCTGGCTGGTGTTGGTTTTTCATGTTTAAATACATCGTCAGATTTATGTACCGCAGGTGACCAGAGAACAGGTAATACTCCATAATATTTTTTATGATAGTTTGCAATTAACAATATGTTTTCACTGATCTGTTTGGGCTTGAATTGTGGGTAGAATGAATTGGGTTTCATGGGCAATGTTATTTTTCGCTTAAATTTGTAAATTCTGACTTTTGACGATGTTTTCTTTTGATCTGATCGCTATGAATTATAGCTGAAGATGCATATACATTTCTAGTCAATTGGTTTGAAAGGTTTCCACAATACAAGCATCGAGATTTTTACATTGCTGGAGAAAGTTATGCTGGTGCTTTGATACATTCCCTTTTACTTGAACTGTTTTATTGTAGATAGATATCCTGCATGATTTTGAGCAACAATCATCGTACCTTTTTTTTTATTTTTTTTTGTTCCAGGTCATTATGTTCCCCAATTGTCTCAACTTGTTACCAAAGAAACAAGGGAAATCAGAATCCAGTAATTAATTCCAAAGGCTTCTTGGTATGATTCATGAAAATTTTAATGATATGGTTTCTATTACCATTGCTTAATGTCAGTGAATCTTCCAATAAATTTCTTTATTTATTTTTTGGTTTAATAAACTTAATTTCTTTTAGTTGGGGAACGCTGTTACTGATGATTATCATGATTATATTGGCACGTTTGAGTACTGGTGGACTCATGGCTTGATTTCTGATTCCACCTATAAAATTCTCTGAGTTGCCTGCGATTTTGGATCCTTTCAGCACCCATCAAGTGATTGCATCAAGGCTCTGATTGTTGCAGAAAGGAAGCAAGGAAACATCGATCCATATAGCATTTTCATGCGCCCTTGCAGTAATACGTCATCTCCGAGGCGTAACTTAAGGGTTCATTATGTAAGTATCATTATTGCTCTACATGAAAATGTTTAAAAGAGGTCTTATAGTAGTCAGCAAATAAACTCAATAGGATTTAGATGCCAAAACCTGTATACACCAACTAGACATGCTTGCATACTCTGTGGTCTGATATGATGTTTCTTATCTGAAACAGTCCTTCAGTATCATCTGTGTATAGTACCACTTTCACGATTTAAAAAATTTATGACAACAAGTATAGCTTTGTATGTGGAGGTTATTCGGGAAAATAGAGGGGGAAAAAAACTCAGGAACTGATTGACATGGCTATAGTTTGTCAAGAAATCAGTTTAGGAAGAAAAACTCAGAAGGAATTAGGACAATGTTAACTTAAACTAATAAATGTTGACTCGCTGTGCAAAGGAGAATATGGTGCTTTCCTCTTACAATAAGGAATAATCCAGGGACTTGTGCGTTGAGAATCATATGTGAATTTTATTGATAGGTAGTGCATGATTTGAATATTCGCAATTGGATCAGGTTACATACACTTGATAACAATCAATTTGTGTTGGAACACCCTATAGAATTGATACACAATGCATAAAGTCCCACCTAGTGATGAGACTCTTGCTAAAGTGGGATTTTGGAAGGGCAAGATATATTCAACCTTACCCCGATTTCTGGAGAGACTATTTCCAAACTTGTGCTAATTTTAAGTTATGCTGTATGAATTTTGACAGAAGATGTCCATATGCAGATATCCCCTTTCATTTTTCCTTCCCCATTTCTGGCCTTGATCTGCTGACTCTCTGGTCTCCTTTCCTACCTGGTAACATTATGCCGACTTTATAATCAACCAATGAATACAAAGATCATAGCACAACAACTAATAGGCTAATATAAAACAACCAATATGAATGGTTGGTATATATTGAATGAAATATAAAGCTTAACATGTAAAAATGCAATAAGATAAGAGTAATAATATTGAACTGATATTTTGCTGCAGTTAGTTCAATTTTTAATTGGTATTATATCATGAGATTTTATTTGATGTTTGTTTCTTTTTTCTTTTTCTTCTTCCCTTTTTTTTTTTGTTTGTATTTTTTTAAAGATTGGGCTTCCAAAAATTGTAAGTTGGATTTTGTTAAATTATAAACCAACAAAACCATATCTTTATCTTTCTTAGTTCTTATGATGATTTCTTTATATAAAGTAGAGTTTGGTATATACTTCACTCTAACACCTAAGAAACACGGACACCGATGGTGACACAAACATGGATGTGGATGCGGACATGGGACAAGTGATTTCAAAAAAATGGGGACACAGACACGGTGGGGGGACATGGCAATAAAATATGTTTTCATATATTTTAATTTGCTATGTAAATTAAAGACACGGTGGGGGGACATGGCAATAAAATATGTTTTCATATATTTTAATTTGCTATGTAAATTAATATTATATCCACAAACAATCAATACTAATAAAAATTATAATTCTATTTTTTTTAAAGTGCTTTTAAATTAAGACTTACAGTTTATATATATATATATATTTTTTTTTTATGAATGATCTATTAAATATTTAAATCTAAGAAAAAAATAATAAACATTCAACATTCATCAAAAACATTAAATAAAATGGGGCAAAAGACAATTTGGCATGTCCCTAATGTGTCTCTGGCGCATCCCTTGAAAATAAATTAATTAAATAAGGGGACACGCCATGTGGTGTGTCCCATATGTGTACCCAAAGTGTCCGCGTGTCCCTGAAGTGTCGGTATGTCCGACACGGATACGGCACTTATTTTGAAGTGTCGGTGCTTCATAGCTCAACACTCGTTTATGAATAATGCTATATGCATCAATTAGTGTACTAACTAGTGTACTAACATATGATGTGACACAATTTTAGAGGTTTTGGGTACTTGTAATTTGTATAATAGGTGGGGTCAATAATAATATCATAACATTAGTTAATACACTAATTGGTACATTAGTTAGTGCATGTAGCACCACCGCTCTTTTATTTGCCTCAAATCTTTCACCTGCCATGAACCAAACCCCTATCGTTAATATCTGTAAATGAACCCCTTAATTCTTACTTGTCCCTCAACATTTTAAGCTTCAGTTCAAATTGTTGTTTTTACTCAACTACTTAAGAACAACAAAATTAGTAGTTCAAGCACCATTTAGAAGATAAGCATTCTAATATCATTAGTTTCATGGAAGCCTTGGACGGGAGAGTAGAATAGCCACTAAGTGCCGGAATTTTTTTTTCCTCTCCAAATCAAATGAGCTTGTTTGCCCATTACTAGTTGTAGGTTCTGTTGAAGGTATGTATAATATGGAGTTCCCATTATAGCAAGATACTCTAAACACACAAGATCCTTCATTTATATTCTAAATCTTTTGATCTGGCTTCGTCCATGAATCCAGTTACTTGATTCAACTTCTGGTACAATCCATGGGCAGCCCTTGTTGTTCATTTCTAGAAAATTTTGAAATGAACAAAATACTCCCAACTTCAAAACTCAGAATTATTAAAAACTAAGCATATTTAATCTAAAGCTAAGACAAATAAGATTACTAAGACTCGTAACTTGGCTATGCGTGGTTTCTATAGGCCTTGCCTTGAAATTATGTCAATTTCCAGATAACGATCTTCTTTATGTTTTCTTGAGCTTCTTATACCTTGCATCAGCATGGCAATTTTTATTCAGTGGTTAACAAATTATTTCTATATTGGGTATTTGGAATCATCTAAATAAGTATACTTTTTGACTTTTTACGAAAAGATGTGCAAAAAAGTAAAGAGGTGATGTGACCTAGATAAGTACACTTATCTAAATAAGTGCACTTATATAGGTTATGCCAAACACCCGAAGAAGTTTACACAATTTATACAGATTGTCTTTAAGGTGACAGCAAGCCCTATTATCAAGATTGAGCTACCAACGACAATCAAAAAATGTGTTCCTCTATACTTTATTATTATTTTCTTTGATTGGCATACCTTATTATTATTATTACTGTTATTTTTTAATTTTTTTGCTTTTGAGTTTGAGGTGATATGTTAGTTGTCTGTGGATGCTAAGTTGTAGTATGATTTTGGACAACAAAAGGCTTCTTTATTAATCTTTAACTCATGGGGTGAAGAAGTTGACTGCTCCTCGTCAAATATCCATTAATATTTCATAAATTGAGTGAGTTGTACTTATCAATCTGTTTATTTTATTTTATTTTTTCAATTTTCTATCTACTAGTTGTGTTTACTATCCTCCACCAACCAACCAACCAACCAAACAAATCGAGCTTTAAGCCTCATCAAATGGGGTCGGTTACATGAATCCTTCTTCTCCACTCGACTTTATCAAAGGCCATTTGGTTAGTCAAATTAAGGAGATTCATGCCTCTATTTACTACATTAGTCCACGTC